TGCCTTTCCTGGTAAGTGACAACAAATAACGGCATGAAGAGCCGCTGCATGCAGTTTCGGAACTGATTCGAGAACATTAGCGAGCCTCTTAAGATGAAGATCCAATGCGCAGAAAGGGTCAATTCCTGATTTTTCTCTACTAATGTAGTACTACTTTCAAATAATATTTTGGTATTATTCAGATACCAAATTCCTAACCGCTTCTGGAATAATTTCCCCTAGACCACTAACTCTCTGGAGTGGGTCGATCAAAATACTTCGCTCCTTGTCAACGCGGACGTCATCCAATCAGGAGAGTAGTTTTGTTCTCTGTTAGATAGCAGCCCAAAGCATGGCTGAGCTTTCCGACTGCCTTTTGATAAGCTTGACTTTCATGATTTTCCCAATCATATCACCCCATTACATTTGTGGTTACCCTATGTGAAAGAAAAAGATCCTATCTGATAACGACAATGACAAGAATCATACCGCTCTCGGAGTGGGCTCAGATGCTGTCCTGCAGCCCTCATCCTGCAAATAGCGCATTGAATGAACTCGATTCTGAAGTCAACCAGAACGATCATGACACTCCACTGATATCGATTGATTTTGGAACGGCTATGAAGCCGAAAGTACGCTTAGCAAGGGAATCCCACCCTTCGATCCAGTCAGGCCTCTAGTTTTGTCATTTTTGGTAGATCAATCCTATCACCACCCGTAAAGCACCTCCTTATGTGTGAGGGGCATTCTGCGGACTGCCACTTAAGCAGGTCGGTAGACAGACAGACCAAAAGACCCACGAGCCTATGTATCTTCTTACAGATTTGGCTGCACATCAAGTGATTTACATAATAGAGGTGAGGCTACTAGACCGACAAACCGTACCGCTTTTGGTGTGGGTTGCACAGCAGTCCTCGAACCTTCACTCTGAAACGGCGATAACATTGTGTGTTACCAGATTCTAACCAGAATAGCATCCCTTAGCACTTATAAATTCGTAGCAAAACTGAAACTTCTAAAGGAAATCGTCTTCAATAGCACATTCCACGATGAAGAAAGTGGGAAAATCTTGTGTGAATAGGAGCTAAGTGAGGCGCCGGAAAAGAGGAGAAATTGCGGAGAATGTTTTTGAAGGGTCTCGTTTTTCTTCTAGTTTGCGTTGCATAAATAATGAGAAGGGCTAAGCGCCGACGCAGGCTAGTGAAACTAGTGAAATGGCCGAAAATTTGAGGTGAGTGTTGAGCAGAAACTGTCCATTTTCGCCAGTTCTAAACTTTCAGCGCTTTGTCATGAGTCTTGAGTCCTGAAGTGAACTCACCTCTACTCTCGGTGTTGGTTGCTTTGCAGAAGTGCACTCTTCACCCTAAAAAGAACAGTCCTATTAAATGTTACCCGAATAACTGGATCCGTCCTAACAAGTGACCAATCCAACGCGAACGCGCGTAAGCTCGAGATGCAAGCGCTTGAAGAAGGGAAGGACAACTCGCTTCTCCAATGGAAAGCTTGAAAAATTTCTCATAAGACTCACTGTCACAATTTTCTCGGTTATGCGTTTCGTCACAATTTCTGTTGTTTTCTCGGACGTCGTTCTCGCCGTTGTCTCACCAGGTGGTCCTTCTTCCTTTGCAGTTACGCACTGGAATGCAAAAATCGCAGTCTTATGAATTTCTCCTGACTGCACTTGATACACTGTGGGAATGGTGAAATTCAAACATAAAAATGTCACCTCTGTTGTTTGCGGTGTGGGTTGACCAACAGCCGTAGACACTTCAGCCTGGGAAAAGAACAAGTGAGAACAGCACTTTTCATTCGACTGCTTATCAATGGTGAATATCGTAGCATGGAAGAAGTTACATAGAGAACACGCTGTGTGCTGCCGTGTGAAGTACCATCTTCGTGCTTTTACCTTCGCTCCATGCGAACAAACCCTTAGGTGAACCATTGATAATGCCCGATTTTTTTCGAATTATGGTTAAAATTTGTTTGTGTGATTCCCGTTGATGCACTGAATTGTAGTATTGAGCAGGAATTTGGCCGTATTTTCTCGTCTCTTTATGTCAATGAAGCCGTCCACTATCTACAAGAATATGCATAATTTCATAGCGTATAACATTCCAATTTAGCGCCGCACGCAACCGCGTGAAGCGGAAAGCTTGGGTGAAACAGGACAGCCAATAAGGCATTAGGTTTACGGCTGAATATTAATTTGCTTCGCAAAGTGCGGAAGCTGACGGTTCGTAGGCCAACCGTCAGCTACCGCATTTTACGACATGCAGAAGCAGCTGTCGAATTTGGGCTACCCATAAAAGAAACTTCGTTTGCCAGTGGTCGGCACATGAATACTTTGCCGTTTCGGAAATTAGACTGCAGAGCAACTTGGCTCTATGGGTGTGCCTCACCTAAGGAAGGGTGCGTTTTCAGGTCCACAGTGGTTGATTTCAGGTCAACCACTGGTTCCACTCAAGTAATGCTCTTCGAAAAATGGTTCGATGGACATATGCGCCTCGAATCGACCCACTATCTAGTGTTTTTGCCCAAGTAGCACAATACTGAGAGAAACGCGTGCACTGTTCTCAGGTAAGCAGCCGTTTGTTTAATTACTGTGACTGGACTGTTTGTTAAAACGGTCAGTCTCGAAGTTCTGTGCAAAAATTGGACATTATTTGTGATTTAATCTGATAAAGCGCGATGCGTAAAAGTTCGATATTTTTGATTGGATGTCGAGAACAAACCATAAACCATACCGGTGTTGGCGTTGGTTGCACAGCAGTCACACACCTTTCAGCCTGAAAGTCACAAACATTTCCTCAATGGCTTTTAGAAGACTGTAGGCGCTCAGCTGGGCGGCTGCTATAAATGCTTCAGCGCTACCACAATTAAGCAGTAAATGCAGGCAACGGATTAATCAAGGGCATTCACACCACTTGATATTAAGAAATTCCCTTCATTGGCAGTCTAAACGGCTTTCCAGCGGAGGTGTACTTGTAGGACGGTCATATGGGTTGCGAGGTAATTAAAGCCTGCCAATCGCTGCATGGTATTTTTTTGTATTTATGGCATCAACGATTCAACTACGGACCATGGCGTGCTATAAATGGTAGATCACTGAATGATATTTGGAAGCGTTTTTTGGGCACTATAAAATTTGTTGATTGGTTGAATTTTGTACTCCTTTCAATTGCCATGATTATTTGAGCGAAACGAGTAATCAAAGTGAGAAAACGAAACTCTATGGATGGTGAGAAGTGAATACAGGAAAATAGATGCTGGCTTCTCACACCCTCCACCCGGCGCTTTGACCAATTTCCATATTTTCCCTAGGCTTCTCTATGCACTAAATATCGCTTGAGATTTTCGTAACATCCATGTTTCTGTTCGATTACTATACGAAATCCACAGATTTAAGGACGAATTCACGCTGAAAGGCAACCCATTTCAAATTAACTTAGGGATGGTGAGTGGTACACGAAAGAAGGAAAAACCATGAGAAACGGCCCAGAACCCGAGAAATGGGACCCCTTCCTTGCCCGTTGATTTGAGCATTGATGCGACTCTCATCGCTGTGCCCTCTTCAACACTACGCTCTCTCTGCTATCTAATCACTCGCCACGTATAGACCTGCGGCGAGTGATCAGATGATCGGTGGGCGTGCACTGGCCAACCGCGCCAAGATTGAGCCATAATAGGTCGCCGAGGTCAACTCCTTTCGGTGCCAATTGCGCTTCAGTCCGCACCCTCAGGAGGTCCGCGGGTCCCTCAACTAGGTGAATTACTCCTTCTTCGACCTTCATTCTAATCGTGAATTCGTCCTTGAGATCGAAGAAGGGGCACCACACGTAATCGAACGGGATGCAGGCTTCCTGAGTTCACAGGACGATGCGCATTTCGCAACATAAGGGTTGCTGTCGGTTCCAATTATGAACACGACATCAATTCTTGGCGCTAACGCTATTTTGCGCAAATTTGGAACGCTAACTCAAAATGCAAAAATTTGTCACCGCGAGGAATCGAACCAGGACCCTTCCACCCCTTTTCTGGTATTCAGAGGGCCGTTCAGGAAAAATGAACCATGGTTCTGTGGTTCCCGCATGTGCCCCTATATCATGCAAAAAACCATTTTAAAAACGTCACCCTGAACGACCTCCCTTGTTAGTTGATGGTGAGTTGGATGAGTGGATAACGTCAAGATTTTGCACCTGGTAACACGCTGGTGGGCCGAGCAGCGGGAAAATTGGCAAAGCCACGATGTTGCAGATGGCGCATGTTTGCTCGCGGAATGACCAGGCACTGCTCCAAGCAATATATGTTCCTCCGTGCTGCACGCACCCTTTATCGTAATCTATCGCCATAAATTGGCGATAACAACTGCTTTGATATCGCCTTCAAGCATGAATTCTTACCGTAGGCGTAGGCTCAGAAGCAGTCCGACAACCGTCATCCTATAAAAGTAAAATGATAGCGTGGAGCTTTTGACTGCTGGTAGGAATCAGTTGTGAAAACCCTACCGCTTTCGGTGTGAGCACGCGAGCAGTCGTGCAGCCCTCATCCTGCAAGTTATCCACTTGATTTCGAAGTCAAAAGAGTGAGACATTTTGGAAAACAAGACCTATTACAGTTCAATGTCGTGTCGCAAACATATGAGGCTCAAAACTATAGGTGATCAAAGTAACAGTGGGAAAGCCGGTGCTGTATGCAATTTAGAAGTATATTTGAGATATTTCAACTGCAAATTTGAACATCAGAAACGTTTAAGATAAGGTTCATGACGAAAAAATTAATTCCTAGCTCTCCGAAAGGAATCATTCATACCTCATTGCGCTAACACACTCTTGAGTGCGCCAGCTGGGACACTTAGCTTTTTGTCAACGTAGACAACGCACGACTGGGAAATAGCCCTCACCGTTTGCTAGTTGACATTCAGAAATATATCAGGGTTAACAGTTAACTCAAATAATTACTACATCTTGTAACTAATACTTATTTGGATACCCCATTTAAAAATGACAAGATTCTATCTGCCAACGACAATGACAAGAGTCCTACCGCTCTTGGAGTAGGCTCAGATGCAGTCCTGCAGCCTTCATCCTGCAAATAGTGCATTGAGTCAACTCATGAAGGCAACTACAACAATGGAGACACCATTGGTACTGCACAGGCATTGCAAGAGTTACTGGTAAAGAGTATGGTTGAAGGATTTTACCCTACACTACAGTTGGAGTTCTACTTCTGTCATGGTTGGTTGGTGCATCCTGTCAACACCCGCAGAGTGAACTGGTAATTTAAAAAGAGCGATTACGACAGATTCTAGAAGGGTTTAGAAGGGATGCTCAATGGTGCGTGAGCAGCGAAACAGGCAGAGAAATCCGTCAAGTATACGAATAGTAACCCCTTTGGTCCATCCATTTTCGACATGAACAAGACAAGAAGTTGCTCGGACGTGCTAACCCCGATAGCCGCCAGCATGGTGTTCCGATTGATAAGGCACCATGCCGGCAAGCACGGAGTGTGATTGACAGCATTACATAGGCAAGTTGGAAGATACAGCCGCTGTAAGGGGAATGATCTTCCAAAATGAAAGCCAACAGCAAACAGCTCGCCCAAGTCACCAACTGAACTAGTGGGCGTAACGCTTTCGGGCGGAGTGCTTCGGAAGTCCTGCTCAGCAACCAGGCACCTTTCGTCGTGAAGCGCCACACTCGCTTCCTTGGCAGCCAAGTAACTGCTTCGTGTGGCGCATATACTCCCCCAATGCGGCCCTCTCTTATCGCAGTCGCTTCCTCCAAAGGCATTTTGCAGACTGTCACGGAAGCAGATCGACATTTCTACGAACATTTACACGAACTTTTACGGACCTAACTTCACCTCAAGGAAGTAATTCATATTAAAACGGAATATGTTACATGTCTGACAAACCGTACCGTTTTCGGTGTGGGTTGCACAGCAGTCTTTGAACCTTCACTCTGAAATCGACAACATTGTACGTTACCAGATTTGAAATCAGAATAGGATCGTTTCGTATTTATAAATTTGTAGTAAAATCGAGACTTCTAGAGGGAATCGTCTTCAAAAGGTCGTTTCACGGAAGGAAGCATGAAAATTGGTCGTTTCACGGAAGGAAGTATGAATATCTAATGTGTTGAATCGAGGGTAAAGTGTCGGAAAATGTATTTTAGGGGTCTCGTTTTTCTTCGAGTTGCGGTGCATAAATAGTGAGAAGTGCTAAGCGCCGAGCGAGGACACAGAAGCGAGATGGCCGAGACCTCAAAGGTGGACTTGCGAGGGAATAATTTGCTCGTTCTTGCGAGTCTTGAAACCTCAGCGCTCTTGTGATGGGTCTTGAGTACTAAAAGTGGAACTCACCTCTACCTTTGGTGTAGGTTGGTTTGCAGGAGTGCACTCTTCACCCTAAAAGACCAGATTACCCTAATCAATTTGTGCCAAAAAGTGATATATCCAACGCGACGCGCTTGTGCTCAAGATGCAAGTTCCGTACTCTCCATTGGAAAGCTTGATTTTAGGAAAGTCTCATGAAGACTCACTGTTATAAATTTCTCGGTTGTGCGTTTCGTCACAATTTCTGTAGTTTTCTCGGACGTCGTTCTCGCCGTTGTCACACCAGGTGGTCCTTCTTCCTTTGCAGTTACACACTGGAACGCAGAAACCGCAGTTTTGTGGATCACTTTGACTGTGCCTTATATACAAGGTACAGTCGAAATCTCGAAGTCAGATTAGGCGTGGCTATGGATTTGACGTGGCCTTTGCCGCACTTGATAAAAGCCGTGAGGATAGGCTGTTTCTAACGTACTCCATTGGATATCAGCAGAGCATGCTTATCCGCGCAACTTCCATCAAATGCGGCGGCCGCCACGTCAAACCCATAGACACGCCTAATCTGACTTCGAGATATCGAGTATAACCACAAGCTTCAACGATCGCGCAAGAGTGGTGACCTGACCCCAGGAGGAGAAACGCCCGTCTCCCGGTTGACAGATGTCCTGAGACCTCCAAGGGCAGGTTGGTTAGGTCTCAGGACATCTGTCAACCGTGAGCCTTGGCGGTTCAGCGTTTTGTAGTGATGTCTGGGAGCTCTCACAAGTGCACACTATCACAGCATCTCCTCTTTCTTTATCTTCTTCAAAAGGCTTAGTCCCAATAAGACACAAAGTGTGTGCTTTTCCAGCTACGCTCTCACCCTTTGGTTGACAGAAGCCTTGTAACCATTGGTTGACCGCTGTCCCGTAACACCGCTGACGGGAGGGGGGGGGGGCAGTTGTCGGTTTGCGACGATTTCTGGGATTCGGTCATTCTGCGATTAGGCGGTTTGGCTGAAAGAAGTGTGTAAGTATCGATTAAAAGAAGAGTCGGGTCTATTTTAGTTAGGGGGCATCATGATGCAGTTTCTCGGCGAACTAGTGTGAACTCGAACATTCCAGCTTTTCACGCATGTCAAGTGACTGCCCTCACCCCACCCCCTAGACTGGCTACACTCCCCTGGCTCGGAGTTACCCTAGCTTTCTGGAAAACTGCATCATGATGCCCCCTAACTGGAATAGACCTAAGAGCCTATTCCAACAAGGAAATACATTGCAGTGTAGGGTTCTCAAAGCATTCCAAACCACGACAAGCATTCCCGTCTATTAGGGCGCATGACCTATCGTAACGATCGCACTGCATTGGATGCGTATCGATCATCCGACGTGTCCGAGGATGGACGATCGATACGTATCTAACGCTGTACGGTCGTTACAATCGGACCACCTACTATGAATGCGCCCTTATAACCGTGCAGGTCCAGGGCTCATTTTGCCTAAAGTCCTTCCCTGCTAAGTTAAGTCCTTCAAAATGACCTTGTTGTTTTTTTCCGCGAACACGTTCCTAACGTTTGCTTTAGTGGATTATTCAAAAGTTTTTCAAAGGACATGTCCCTGCATAATTGATTGATTTGGTTTGCTGTGTTGTTTAGTCCTACAATGCAAAGCTAAACATTACCATGAATGGTCCCCATTCAGTCAGTAGTGCGGAAAGGCCGGAGCATCCTGGACCACCAGTCAGCCAGACGAGAACAGGATCGGTACTGGGATTGTTTTGAGATTCAACGAACCTGAAAATAGGAAGTGAATCGATGAAGCTCCATTCAGTTCCTTCAGAATGCGCATGGTTCATCCCTCCGTTTCGTAGTTTAGAGTGAATGGCCAAGTACCGCTCCTCTACTTCTGAGCAAGAGGTAGACCAGTCTCGAAAAGCAAAAGCCTCAGATGTAGCAAGCGGCGACTCCTGCTTCCATTTCTCAATCTTGCGGAAATGTCCTAGCTTTGAAAAAATGAAGGAAAGGAAAGATAAAGCCTATAAGCTGACCAGTAGTGCAGTTGATGGTTCTTT